GGGGAACCTGCAAGACCTCAACCCGTATGCTATGGCCATGTGCCCCACCGGAAACTACACTGAATAATAAACACACCTGATGCAGGCATGTCTCAAAAGGTCAAACCAAAGTTGCTTGCCGGTCCAAATGCCTTTTCCTTGTCCCTGCGAGTTGTACTGGTTGCTCCGGCTGTTTCAGCACTGATGTTGCTGCTGCTGATGGCCAAAGGATTTTTGGCTTCGCTTACCAACCTGAAACCCTCCCACCAAAAAGACGACAAGTTGCGACGAATTAACTGGCCTTCATCCCACAGAGTCGCTCGCGGGTGCAAACATTGGCTGCGGCGCCCAGGAGGCCCCGGATCTGCGCCGCAAGCTCTGCCGCCATCTCCGGCTGCGAGTTCTTGAGCTGACCAAAGGCCCACCTAAGTGACCACCATGTGGCGCGCTGCAACACCAAAACCCCCCCCCCCCCCTCCCACATCCTGGTCCTTGTGTCGAGGAGTTTGTTCAACCAAAAAGGTCTGAGGATACGGATCTACCCTAGCATTTCTTCTTAGAAGCTGTTGGCTCTTGCACATCCCCGAACGACAGGGGCCAAGGATCACACGCAGTCAGCCCGATTGTTGTGGAGAAGCTCTGGCCTTGGGATGGAATAACATCTCGTGACTTACAATCACGCTAGACCGTTGTCTAATGGCAGCTAAATGCGCTACGGTTGATATGATGCGCCATCAACCCACCACGGCTACACAATCCGTGTCTGGCTTTCCGGCCCTCACTTATTGCAATACTTGGACATCAAGCTATGGTTGCATTCGGCACCACCGGCTTGCCAAGACCCGCCTACCTGGAGGGCATGTTGCTGGGCAGTTGAACATGGGGGAAGTCTATGCAATCCTAGTTCCGGGTGGGATGCAACACAACAAGGAAAATCACAATCATCTGGCATAAAGACTGGGTGTCTGGAAGAATCAAAGATACAAATCTTCTTTGATATCAAACGTATGCCTGCGTCCTGTGCCACCTTCCACATTCGATCCAAATGGCACACGAGGCAAAGTGCATGACCTTTGATGATGTGAAGGAAGTACATTCAAGCTAGAGATTCTGCTGGCAATCTGTCCTTACTAAATCAAATATTCAGACTCAAAACCAAAAGAAACCTCTAGAAATCAAATATGCAGATATATGCAGACTAAAAACAACAAAAGACAAGGGGAAATGTTTCGGTTTGGGATTCCACTGAGGGATTTTGGATGAATTCGAGTTTTTTGATTTCTCGAAGGTTTTTGTTTGGGTTCCAGTACGGTTCCCCTGAGAGAGTGGTTGCTTGTCCTTGTCGATGATTTTTGTATGTTCAAATATAATTTGCGAGCCTTTTGCGGTTCTGCCTTAAACCCTGAAAAAACAGGTCTTTGCAAAAACACCAACGCTCACAACATCCCTTTCGGTATTTGCGACATTTTGCCCCCCCCCCCCCCGCCGCAAAAAGACAAAAAGCGCTCTCGGGGCCCCGGGCAGGAGGTTGGTCACCTCGTAGTCCTGGCAGCTGTGGAGCTGCCGCGCCGCCACCTCCGCGAGGCGCGCGAAGAGCGGCAGGCGGAAGGCGCCCAGGGTGGCGCAGGACCAGGCGACGATGGAGCTGCAGCTCGCGGAGAGCAGATGGCCGCCCCCTGAAGGAAAAACGTCAGCTCATGGAAGCGACGCAAAGGAAGGACATCGTTCAGGCATGTTCGGCATTTGTGCTGAGGTGCTTCGCGCACATGGCTGTCACACCATCGTCAAAACGTCTTGGAGGCAAAGTTGTGTGTGTGTGCGCTGTGTGTGTGGTCGCGCTTCCCTCGGGATCCTCAAGAAGGTCCCGCTCGTGCCTGCGTGGAGCAATGGCACAGTGACATGTTTTTCAAGAAGCGTCGAGTTGTTCTGCGCAGCCCGTGTGTGTGTGTGTGTGTCTCTGTGTGTGTGTGTGTGTGTGTGTGTGTGTGTGTGTGTGTGTGTGTGTGTGTGTGTGTGTGTGTGTGTGTGTGTGTGTGTGTGTGTGTGTGTGTGTGTGTGTGTGTGTGTGTGTGTGTGTGTGTGTGTGTGTGTGTGTGTGTGTGTGTGTGTGTGTGTGTGTGTGTGTGTGTGTGTGTGTGTGTCTGTGTGTGTCTGTGTGTGTCTGTGTGTCTGTCTGTGTGTCTGTCTGTGTGTCTGTGTGTGTCTGTCTGTGTGTGTCTGTGTGTGTCTGTGTGTGTCTGTGTGTGTCTGTGTGTGTCTGTGTGTGTCTGTGTGTGTCTGTGTGTGTCTGTGTGTGTCTGTGTGTGTCTGTGTGTGTCTGTGTGTGTCTGTGTGTGTCTGTGTGTGTCTGTGTGTGTGTCTGTGTGTGTGTCTGTGTGTGTCTGTGTGTGTGTCTGTGTGTGTCTGTGTGTGTCTGTGTGTGTCTGTGTGTGTCTGTGTGTGTCTGTGTGTGTCTGTGTGTGTCTGTGTGTGTGTGTGTGTGTGTGTGTCTGTGTGTGTCTGTGTGTGTGTCTGTGTGTGTCTGTGTGTGTCTGTGTGTGTCTGTGTGTGTCTGTGTGTGTGTCTGTGTGTGTCTGTGTGTGTCTGTGTGTGTCTGTGTGTGTCTGTGTGTGTCTGTGTGTGTCTGTGTGTGTCTGTGTGTGTCTGTGTGTGTCTGTGTGTGTCTGTGTGTGTCTCTGTGTGTGTCTGTGTGTGTGTCTGTGTGTGTGTCTGTGTGTGTGTCTGTGTGTGTCTGTGTGTGTGTCTGTGTGTGTCTGTGTGTGTCTGCGTCTGTCCCTCTCTCTGTCTTTCTCTCTCTCTCTCCCTCTCTCTCTCTGTGTCTGTCGGTGTGTCTCTGTGCATGTGTCTGTCTCTGTGTGTCTGTGTGCGTGTCTGTCTCTGTGTGTCTCTGTGCGTGTCTGTGTGTGTGTGTGTGTGGGTGTGTGTGCGCGTCTGTGCGCGTCTGTGCGCGTGTGTGCGCGTGCGTGTGTGCGCGTACGCGTGCGCGTGCGTGTGCGCGTGCGCGTGCGCGTGCGCGTGCGCGTGCGCGTGCGCGTGGGCGTGGGCGTGGGCGTGGGCGTGGGCGTGGGCGTGGGCGTGGACGTGGGCGTGGACGTGGGCGTGCGGGTGCGGGTGCGTGTGCGTGTGCGTGTGCGTGTGCGTGTGCGTGTGCGTGTGCGTGTGCGTGTGTGTGTGTGTGTTGTGTGTGTGTGTCTGTGTGTGTGTGTGTGTGTCTGTGTGTGTGTGTGTCTGTGTGTGTGTGTGTCTGTGTGTGTGTCTGTGTGTGTGTGTCTGTTTGTGTGTGTCTGTGTGTGTGTGTCTGTGTGTGTGTGTGTGTCTGTGTGTGTGTGTGTCTGTGTGTGTGTGTGTCTCTGTGTGTGTCTCTGTGTGTCTCTGTGTGTCTCTGTGTGTCTCTGTGTGTCTCTGTGTGTCTCTGTGTGTCTCTGTGTGTCTCTGTGGGGGAGCCTTGCTGCAACTCTTGGTTCGCAATTTTCTTCACGGCATCAAGCATGTTCAGGAAGATGCTGTCCTGCAGGACCGCGCCAAAATCCTCAAGCTGCGCGCGAGCCCAAGCATAGTGATCAGAACCAAACTGAAGCCCGTTCAAGCAACTTCTGACAACTTAAGGAAGAAGGGCGCCTCTGCCTGCCTTGGCCAAACTCGCCTTTGCGTATAGCAACACGCCCAACTGAGCTGGCTCATTTGCTCGTCTCTTTTCAGGAGCCAGTCAGGCAAATGCGGCGTGGCGGATTATCAGCAGCAGGGTTGGACACTGAAGCGGTAATCTGAGTTTGCCGTGCTGGACAAGAGTGGGCCAAGCGGGACAAAGGCAAGTGCGTGAATTATTTGCCAAACATTTCAGAGCTGGAACGCCTTGACACCTGCCTTGAGATGATAAGTATAGAAATGTATAGAATATAGTTTGTGTTTCTCCTTGGCATTCCGTGCCAAATTGGTTTCCAGGAATGCTCTGCAGCTGTAACATCGTGAAACAAAGGCTTCGAGCCCAGCTTCGGTGCTGACACCACGGGCAAGCCGATGGAAAGCAGTTGCAAAGTTGATGCCATTCATCTCGTCAAACTTCTTATGGACTACCTGAGTTGCCCCGCGCCAGCAAAACGGGAAACAAAAACACTATCATCGACATAACAGGCCCCAGCTGCACTCAAGATCTTGTCGTAGGTTCCCTTCCTGGCTGCCTCGATGAGTTCGTGGTTGATCTTCCTCCATGACCCGGAGTCGTGGCTTTTTGACTGGCTCTGCTCCTTGCCTGTGCCCTTCTCAACGTACCCGGCATGCGGCGAAAGTACGTCTTGTTCCAGGCGAGCATGGCCGCTTTTTGCAGCCACGCCTTTGAAGTACAAGCAGGGGCAGGATGCTGACCTGGATCGAAACAGGCTCTTGCCCTCCGCACTTGCCTCATGCGAGACAAAGTGCAAAAAAGTGTTCTTGAGAGATATGTCGTACTGCTCGGCCATGCCCTTACTTGCACCGTGGCCACGATGAAACCAACGTCTTGTTGACGGGCTGAGTGAAAAACACACTAAACGGCAACCAAACCAAAAAAAAACGGGAAAGTTGCCGGTGAACAAGTGGGTGTCGGCCTGAGGTCACGGGACAATGGCCACACCTATTGGGCCCAATAGGCTTCTGAGAAGCCGTGACCTTAAGCCTGCATGCCTGCGACGGCCGCGGCTTCTCACGCAACGCAATGACGGATGAGAACGAGGAATGACCTCCAGCGATTTGTGTCACCGGAAAGCTCCTGTCGCTTTCGAAGGGTTCACCAGCACTTCCCAGAAATTCAAGCCCCAAATTCGAAAGCACAACCACCAAGTGCGGCCAAATGAATCTTCATGGTTCTAGGGGTTGATTCCCCATTCTTTTCAGCCATCGTTCCTTTCAAAAACCAACCATTTCCCCAGGCTGGTTGGTGGTTTTCTAGAAACCAGGATCCTCGGAAAGAATGGGGAAGTTACCCCTAGAATGGTGCCACCGTCACCCGGACTTCCCCGAGTACGTCCAATGCCTGAGGTACGTGCCCGGGCACTCGGCGACGCACACGCCGTCCAGAAGGGCAAGCGCCTGTGGCAGGCCCATCAGGTGCCCACAAGGTAGTCGCTTGGATTGCTGGCTTGGATTGATGGCTTGGATTGGTGGATGTGATATTGGTGGTGGATTTTTGAACCCCTGGTTCTTGAGAAGAACGATTCTTGAGCCAACCAAAGGGGAAAGCACCGCCTTTTGAAGAGGGGGAAACTGGCCGGGAATGGACTCATGGATTTGTCTCATGGGCTGATCCCACGCGATCCTAACGCTGGTCTCATCGGCCCGACCGATGGTAGAAAAACTTCTTCACGTAAGAGACGGACCCGACTGACCCTGGGAGGAGGAAAAAAAAACGAAGGTCTTGAAGTAACCCAAGAGACGAAGGGGATGCCAAACAGGATGTGTAGAAATGGCGAACCCAGTTTCGCTTGGGGAAATCTCCCATGGGCACCGATTCACGTCTCCGGCCTCCCCGCTGCTCGGCGAGCACCAGAAGAGGAAGGGCTTGTCCTTGACCGCCTGGTCGGGGCCGCCTAGACTTTGCGCTGGACAGTCCTGCCTTTACTATCCTTGCCGGGTATCTAGTACTTCTTTATTTGTGTTGATAAATGTATCAGGGGATTGTTGGCTTGTTTTGCCCGTGCTGGGCGCTGATTCAATACAAAACGACAACAGCCAAGAGTTTCAGCTTGCCAACTCAGGAAAGATGGGGCCCGGTAAGAACTTCGGACCTGACATTGGGGCTACGGACGGAAGCTTATCATGGAGGCCCGAACCGCTCTTTTCCAGGAGTCGCGCGCCAAGGCAAAACCGATTTCAGTTTGCGGGGCTGTTCAAAATGGGGGGATCCTGATTTTCCCAATCCGTACGGAGTAGTGCCGCAACAGGGGCAGCCACTACCTCCCCCTGGCATAAGGATCTGGCGGATTGAACAACCCAGGCTTGAGCGCGACCCGCGACCCGGTGCTTGCCCGACCTCATCCACTCCGCAAATGGCGCCCGTCCAGTCAAAGCCATGAGTCCTTGGCTCAGAAAATGCCCCAAATGGTGACTGAAGTCGCGCACCCACTATGCACCTGGGGGGGTTTGTCTGTTTGATGGTTTCCCTTTTGGGAAGACTTTGAAACGGAAATCAAAGGAACCTATCCAGACGTGGCCCCTCCTTGCATCTTCCTTTATGAGCAAGGCCTCCCAATTGATCAGCACCATGTACCTCGTTTTCGGTGTCCCTCCTTCTTTAGCGAGTGTATCTGCCCAGGGCCACATGAGTGTTCCTCAAAATTGTGAACCCAAAAATGGGCGATGTTGAACGGCTTCTTGTGTACTGGGCACAAAGGGAATGCACTGCTTGCCTGATGGGTTGAAATGCCAGTAGCAGCTAGGGCCGACCGTGTCGGACCCTTGCGCAGGGGACTCGTGGAAAGCCTTGACGAATCAAAGTTTGGAGCAACACACAAATGTCCGATCTGAACGCGTCCTCGTTTGTTCATGGGGGCAACCGAACTGAAAGCAGTAGAATCCATCTATGTTCAGACTGTAAACACTGACCGAACAAAAGGCAGACCAAAACAGACAACTTTTGCCGGGCCAATGGTTGACATTCACAATTTGCCCGAACAAACAGAAAAAGACTGGGGGAAACCACGAGCTGCGAATCACGACCGACCATGCATATGTCACATTACCCTGCCACCAATTAACATGGAAGCTGAAAGGGGGTGTCAGGGGTGTCTTTAAAAGGAACATGGTCCAAACCAGGACCCCTGTCAGGTTTCATGTTAATTGGAAAGGTAGTATCATATTTAGATTTGGAGGTTGCTTAGCCAAACTGTGGCAGTTCATAATGTACGCCCCAGGTCAATCAGTGGTGGGGTAAAGCGTGACATCGCATATGCTGGCGACGAGCGTGTTGTTGCAAGTGGAATACGAACGGCGCACCATGAAATTTCGGCCCAGAAAACTGCCCAGTGACCCTGTAAGAAAAGCGAGGGTTGTCTGCTCTTTCATGTCAACTTTGCAACTTTGGACTCATGCGGAGAACTGTACTATTCCCGATTTATAAGATTTGGTAAGGACGTGATACGTGATATTTTCTGATTTATCTGGGCCCCAAATATCAGCGGGGAACGCACCAAACAAAACGAATTTAGACTTAGAGGCCCCAAATAACACCGGATCATACACGACTTGAATTCCCAGTGGCAGCTTGGCGAGATCGCCCTCGGTCCGCGCATGTTGGTACACAGACCTGGCGCCGGATCCAAGGCTTTCCATGATCCAAACAAAGGCGATAGCAGACCGTTAGGGCAGCTCGCTTGCGAAATGGTCTCGGGATTCCCAGAGCCTTGCCGGTGGGGGGTCGGGTTTCGATGGACCCGGCAGATTCTTCAGAGCTTTTGGTTCAGCCAGCCGTTTTCGACTTTCGAATTGCCTATCCAAGCCAGCGGAGCCAAGGCCCACGCCACATGCCGAAGAGGAAGGCCCCCAGCAAAACCCCGCACCAGCGATCAGTGCATCTGCGCCGGGGCCTCCGGGGCCGGGGCCCATCTCCGAAGTGATGGTGCTCTTGGCATGTTTCCAGGGCTGGATGCCCTTCCCCCCGGTGCTATTGTGATAATTCAGGATGTCCTGCTTCCAGTTGTGCTTGTTTGCAGTTGCCTGCTTTGCCCGCCCTTTTCATTGTACCTGTTCGTCTCACTTCCCTGGCTCGCTTTTTTGGGACAGGGTGTGTGGTAGCCACTGTCGTAGCAAACCTGTCCATTTTTGTGCAATGGAGTCCCAAAAGCGATATATCATGTTTAGAGGAATCTCCCTCTGGGAAATCCTCACAGCCGGGTGCCATGTTGAGGGCCTGTCTGAGCCAACTAATCGAACTTTCCGGAGGATGATTATTACTGCCGATGCGGACCTTGCCAGCCCCACAGCGAGCAAACATAGCCCAGAACACTCTTGAAGAGGTGTGTATATATATATGTATATATATATATATATAGATAATTCAATATTTATATATACGTATACACACATAACTACGTACACACACACATACATATATATATATATATATATACATATACACCATATATACGTAAAACACACACATAAGATTCGCATTGCCTTATCTTGAGAATACACATGCAAATGTATATGTATGCGTGTATACATATTCTAAATCTATGCAAAAATGTCCGGAAACTATACTGCCTGTGTGTACATATCACCGGGACTCACAGAAATTGCGTCTCGCCGTGGTCACCGCTCCTCGCTGGCACCGCCTGGCCTCGGATGCATTCTTGTCTGGGGGTCACGGCAGGCTTGCCTTTTCAAACTGGTGCAAGTGACCTGACACAGTTTCAGGCACTTGCAAATTCTCTCCTAGAATCCCCTCTAAAACCGACCCAACCCCCCTGCAAGCCGATCATTTTTTCTAGAGGCCAGGCAAATTACCCTCTAGTAACCGGTCCAAACCAACCAAATACCCCTACAAACCGTTCAAATTCTGTTGCAGAAACCAAGGTCAAAGTACCCTCTCCAATCAAATCCCCTCCCAAAACCAGCCCAACTCCAGTCATGTGCAAAACTCCCTCTAGAAGCTGGTCAAATTCCCCTCCAAAACCCCCTTGAAGCCGGCCAAACTCCTTTCCTGAAAGCAGTCAAGAGAAAATGTCTTCCTTACGAATCCCCTCAAGCTTCGCTTGGCCCAAGTCCATGGCTCGTTCTATCTAGCCGCACTCGGTTAATTGTTTAAAAATCTCGCGCGATCCGCTTTGCCACGAGGCTCATTGCTTTGGGTGGTGGTGGCGAGTCCACGTGTCACGTTCTGCACCGGCGACTTGCTCTCTGGGATATGGTGTCTTTTCTTTCCATGGCATATTTGGATAGTCACCCTTCGCGCCATGTGGAAACGCGCCAACATGCACCCACCTTCTCTCTTGAAAACCAGCTCACGTACTTTGGTGCCGACTCACCCACTCAAACAAACACAGCACTTCAAGGCAAACCAAAACACAGTACCTCAAAGCCGGCCAAAAGCGTTCTGGCCGAGGCGGGCAACGCGAAGCGTATGCGTGCTTGCCTCATGTGCCTCTTTTACCGCAAGTACCTACCCTGAAAGAATGAAAGCCAGAAATACGCGCCATTTAGTCTGTACGACGTTTGAACCAAGCAGTGTTGCATTGGTTGCCCAGCCAGAGATATACGTGCATGACAACTGTTTCCAGGGGGGAAGCAGTGTGCCTGCAGTTTACTGTGAAAACTCTCCCTCAAGGTTCCTCATATTTCCCCTTTGAGCATCACCCACCAAAAGGAAACTCACTTTACATTGGCCCAAAAAGGATGTTTGAAGTCACCAAATGGGGACATGTAGGGACCCCCCTGAAAAAGGTGAAAACGACTCTGCTGCGCTCCCGGCCGCACTTCAGGAACTCGTCCCGAGAAGTGACGCTCTCCTACCAGGAGGGTTCATTCACATTTGTTGGACCCTGCCCAGGTGCACCGGCAATCACCACAATTTGGACGACAATCACTGCCATTACTGGGCGGGGCTAGTGTGTTGGATGAAAGCTGTTGCTTCCCACCAGATGCCGGCTTGGAAAGAGATTCTGACAAACGCCAAATGAAGATCAGCCATGATGTAAATGCTCCTCTACTCAAGGAGGGGCCTTGCGAACGCATTCCTGCCTGGTCCTGCTCAGGATCCTTGGCAAGGAGACAAGACAACACTATGAGAAGCCGATGGTATTCGTGCTCCTGGTGACACTTATCCTGAGCATCCGAAGCAAATTTCCATTCGGAGGATTTTAATGGGTCGCTTGAATTGCAAAGTCAGCTTCAAGCAGCAACCTTTCGAATTTGACAAGGACCAAACATCGAGGGTCGCCGGCCGCAAGGAACTGCAAACATGAATCCTGCTTTTCCCCACAAAACGCGGACACTCCCTTACTCATCAACCCAAAACACACATGAGGGGTTGACATCATCCCACACAAATCGATTGAGAAGGCTTTGCATGAGACCTCGCTGTATAGCCACTGCCGACCTGCATCTATATTATATGAGCGACCGCGAAGCAACCCCATCTGAGGCCCTCACCATCGTAGCCCGCATGGAGCTCAGCTAAAGTTCATACGGCCACGCAGCTTGAAAAAAACCTGAGTTGGGCCTGAGAAAATAATTCCACTGCTTCATTTCCTCACTTGAAGCAAAACCGCCCAGATGTCTAGGTCTCAAATGTCCCGATGCAAAATGGACGACATCGGAGGCCATGCAAACCACGGGGCCTGCTTTAGTGGGCTTCAGATGGACGATTTTACCACCCGCAAGGACTGAAACCCGTGTCAGCTTTTTGGAACTTGCCCGGTCGACTTTCGCTGCTACGTGCCCCAGCCGCGTGGCTCGAGCCAGGTTTCGGCTCCAAAGGCGCGGACTTTGGGAAGCCAAAGCCAAGCTAGCAGGTTCCAACCAGCGGCCCCTGGCCCTGAAACTCAATCACAATAACCAAAACAAATACGAACAAGTGACAGTTACAAGGTGTCACAGGCATGGGCATGTGTCAGAAGGGGGTCCCAAACTTGTGTTTGGTCTTTTAATTTCCCAAGCCAAGCTGAAAAGCTCACCCTCAAAAGAACCACCCCCAAATGACGACAGGCATCAAGAACAACCTCAAGAACATGTTTAAAGAGTCTTAGAAACAGGTGCAAAGTCTCCTGGCTTGAAGGAGAAATAAGTCATGGCCCCGACCAACCCCGTAGAAAAAGAAAACAAAATGCGACGAATCAACGGTGCAGCAAAGGCGGCCGAGGACTCTGTGAGCATTTTGAATGGGCATCCGGAATCCGAGCTCCAGCTGGCAGGTCCCTCGCTGAGTCCCTTCCCCCACACGCCAGTCGCCAGAAGGGCCCCAGAAAAGCCAATAGACAAACACAACAGGGATCCAAACATTGAAAGCGAGCATTAAAAGTCGGGATCGCCTGCTGATACTCCATGGCCTGCCCTCACGCAAGATGCGTGGCTCCCTATCAGCAAAACAAATGCTATCTCTCAGATCTAGCACCATGATAGGGCAATGAAGTACTTTCAAACTATAACAAAAATCGGGACCCGCCATGGGAGGATCCTTCACCTTCGTCCACCTTGATGCGACAATTGTGGGCAAGAATTCCAAAGCTGGACTCAAGAAACCGACTTTAAACTCTAGGACCCATCGTGTTCTTCAGACTTTTGGCTCCTTCGCAAGTGAAACTTCTCAAATACCTCGATGGTGGTGGTGCAGAAATCCTTCCTGAACCCCAAGATCGCCACAAAGCCGTCATCCCCTTTGCATTGCCTCTCTTGCTCCTCTCACCACCCACTGGGGACAACATTTAACAATTATATAAAATTATATACAGCACATTGCAGCACCCAAAGCCGGGATCCAACTTGCCTCTTTTTTGCTCGCTGCCTTCGCTTGGCTTCTATTCTTGTCATAGGGACCCGCTTAGTACTGGTGGAAACCTTACAGCACACCATTGCCCCCAAGTGTGCCTAGAAAAGGGGGTCTAGGATGTCCCTTGCTCGCACTGCTCAGTCACTGCTTGGTCACTTCTTTCTGCAGCAGAAAAAGATACCTCCAGCGGAAGCTTCGCAAATTTAGTAAACCAGAGCAAACCAATGAATAACGAAGTCTGGAATTGATTGCACCCAAGAACTAGATGAAGAAACTCAAGGCCGGCAATGCCAAAGCTGAACGTGGCTGACTTTCTACCATCACTGTCCAGGGTTCTTACGTTGGTGCAAGGCTCAACTATATTTGGCCATCTGACCAGTCAGGTTCTGCGACAAGAGGCGTGCCTTAGAACAGGCGTGCCTTAGAACAGGCCAGGTGTTGCATCGAGGCTGGGCCAGTGCTCAGCTCTTGTCGTTGGAACATGTTGTCCCACCCACCCAGGCTCAACCTCCAAGGGCAAACGGATACCGATGCGGGGCGTTTTATCAAGTTGCCAAGCTCGCAGCACGGCGACTGATGATTCAGGCCTGAAAATGCAATCCGTGCAAAAGGGCAGACGTATTGTTTAACAAAATGCCCGTGCTCATGCTAAGCGTCGCCAACTTGGGTTGCAAAGTGTCCCTATCAAACATGGTGTCAAGACCCAATGCAAAAAACACAAAAAACACGCATGGAACCCTGAATCCTCCAATCAAGTCGGTGATATCACATGATCCATGCCTGCTTGTTTCGAGAGGCAAATTCAGGCTCTGCAATATTTGTTGAGACCCACCCTTTCGCTGGTGTCCGTTTAACAGAAATTGAAAAAACATATGGGTTCTTCGCCGAACAGGGCTTGCAAGGTTCCCTTTGCACCCCCCCCCTCGCCAAAACACGGCTGGCACGGGCCTCCAGCCAACAGCAGGACGCCCCTGGGAGGTCAAGGTGGGAGGCTTTGATGAGATTATCCCACCGACGTGCACAGATCTCTGTAGAAACTCTGTATTGGTTTTGTGCACTTCCATGTTAGTCGGTGGGAGGGATGGGCCGTTGTTGATAGCGCGCGTGTCCCAATGTGAAGGATCCGCAACATGGGACCCCGCTGATCAACCAGAGAGTTACGCACCCAAAGAAACCGCTGACCTGGCGGAAGGCCAAACGGACAAGGCCGGCGCGGCCGAGCGCCCTGGAAACCAACGGTGTATCCGCGGAACTAATCCCAACAGCTCCGGAATCTCCCGGGACCTGCCGGCCTTGCGGACATCTACACCGAGGTAAGCACAAGCAATCTCCATTCAAAGCCATCGGCCTTTTGGACCGAAAAGCATCTGAGCCCTGCACACGCCGCCAGCTCCCAGCAGCAGCATGAAGTTTTTGTCCATACCCTTTGCCTCGGGGTCCCGGAACATGCAAATCGAGCTGAGACCGTTGAGCCGTGGCTTGAAATGGAAAGAGCAAATGCACCCTCAACGCAGCTGGGAAACAAAGGGCGCACCTGGTGGATGCTGAACATTTCGTAGAACTTCCCTGGTCCCCTTGCGACTGGGTGTGGATCGTAATTGGGGGCCCTTTCTAGACATCATTCACCTGGGGACCCCTGTCCACGCACCATGTTGACAGGTTTTCCCTATTGAAATTACTAATTGCCTATATTACGCCGCCCTTCTTATAACAAATGTGAGCATCTTCACGATGGTACCAGAATTTAGCGCATTCTCACCCAGCGGGGCGCTGAAAGCCGACGTCTCAGCTCAGGCCGCAACTTCCTTCCCGGCCTTTGCTGGCTTCTCTGCCGCCTCCTCTTTCTCCTCCGTCCTTGGCTGCTTCAGAAATGAATCCATTGTGTGGTGTGTGTTGAAGTTGGAATTCAACAGGGCTGGAAAACAAGAGTAAACACACCCGGCTTTTTCGGGCCGATGACTCACAGGGGCCTTAAAATGCCAAGGAACGCGACAAGGAAACAAATAAGTCGATTCGCCGTGGACGGCTGGGCGCTCTGGACTTAGCCGCTCAACTTTCTGGCGAGAAAGAGTTTGAAGTTTGTTGGGCCAGGCAAACCACCAAGCAGCAATGAAGATGGAGACAAGAAAGAAAACAAAACATTGCCATTGAAGATCTGGGCGTCTCTTCCCCGCCAGAGGCGCCTACTGCAACAGGCTCCTCCTCCTCCTCCGACTCCTCAGCATCCTCCGGCTCGCTGGTCCCCTCCTCCTCCTTGTCCGCTCAGACAAAAACGAAAATCGGGAACAGCTTCCCAAACGGGTATGTGTGAAAATAGGACGACGCAGGTCCTCTTGGGTTCCCGAGAAAACAAGTCTGATAAGTTCCCGCGGAGAAACAAAAACACGCCCCAAGCATGCATGGCGGCTCACATTCCCCAGGAGCATCCCTGTCTGCGCATCATAGCGGGTGAAGTAAATTGGAAAACCTGCTTGCGGAAACCAAGAGGGCGCTATAGATTTGGAGGTGTCTGCACTTGTTCAATAGCAGCAGCCTGAAGCGGACCTGTTGCTTGGATTTTCCCTCTTAAAGTATAGAAAGGCCGCGCTGCCATCGATGCCTGGGCGTCGTTTGGCCAGGCTACCCCCAATAGCAACCCTTCCGCAACCCTTCCCAAGCCCTTCCGGAACCCTAGCTTAATTGGGCAGAGACCCTGAAGGCCTTCAGCCTTTGCGGAAAAATGAACAGGTCCACTCAGAGTCCACTCGGTAAAAGTTCTTATCTCCCCTCCTCCGTGCTTCCCAGCACCGCCGCCGTCGTGGCAGCGGCTGTGGTGGCAGCAGCTGTGGTGGCAGCAGCTGTGGTCGCCGCGGCTGTGGTGGCAGCAGCCGTAGTGGGCGCCGCCGTTGTTGCCGCTGCGGTGGTGACAACGGCTGCAGTGGCGGCAACAGGCACAACCGGCACCTGAAGGGAAGGCTTAGGCTGGGTGCCTCGCCAATCCTGTTGAAACCGGTTCTCCTGGCTTTTTGCTGGACCACGAATGGCGGATGTTCTTTCTCACACAATCACTTAAGTGAAACGACGCAACACGTCGCAAAATATGGCCAAACTAAACTGTGACCCAGTCTCCCTCAGGCTGACTAAAAGGAAGAGGGGATTGCATTTCATGCGTTGCCATTGTTTCCCCTGGTTTCAAGGGGAGATCAAGCCAAAACATTGCAAGGTGTGCAAAGGGAAGCTGAGACCGTTGCTGCCAGACTCAAACGGACTACTTCTTGTGGGAGCCCCCTTTTGGCTCCTTATTTTCAGGCAAACCAGGGAAGACAACCCTTTTGAGGGGAAGCACCGGATTTTGAGATAAACCCAGCTACAAAGCCCCCTCCCCACCCCCCCAACCACGGCCTGCTTGCGCTCCTTCACCTCCGCAAGGCTTGCCAGCCCTGTACTCGGCGCACGTCCTGCGACATCGCGAGCTGCAGTGCGAGGGTGCTCCCCTGGTAAAAGTTTAACTCTTAGTGGTTCAATGGAAAACCCATTAGTTGGCAAAAAGTTAAAGTCCTAACATCCAAGCAAAATGCACCAAAGTTACTCAGCTCTATGGGCCCACCTGTTGGGCTGCGGGCTACTTTGAACCTCACATTCCGATGCCTTTCACATGCAATTGGACATCCACCTACCTTCAGGGGAGAGATGGAGCCCCCTGGCCGTCCCCACAAAGGGACAGTGGGTCGAA